GTAAGGTAATATTGACCTGGGTCTCTGCACTTAAAAACTGGTTTAGGATCTTTACTTCCAAACCTGTAATCCACAGAACGCCTAATTCTGTGTAGTGTTCTAGTTCCGGGAGCCTGAATCCTAAAGTATGCCCACCAAAGATAGTCCTACTCTCTGCTGGTAGAAGCCAGAGCCACAGCAATCAATCTACCTGATTCTTTTTTTCTGAGGAATAGAGATGAGAAAGAAGTCTTTTCAAATGTCTTTCTAGAGTTTAGGGGGAGGAGAGGAACCAGAGGGTTTCTACCATGGGAGAACTGACTCAGCCACGCTGTGTCACCACCACTGGCACAGTGCCATGTGGCCAAGTCCCTTAGCTCTACAGAATGGATCTTCAGAGTGTTCCATTAGGCCTTTCAGCTGAGAAACATCCCTTGGGCCTGCCCAACTCAATCATGGTGTTTTGGAGTTGGAAGGAAATCAGAAAGTCCATTTCCTGCCTTGGATGTTTGTCAGTACCAATAAATAAGTATGTGACCAGAAATTGGACCACACTTCAGAATCACCTGCTACCCATCTCTGTGACCAGGTGGCTGGGGCTGTGCAGTTCACACCAGAGTCTGTGTATTCTGTGGGAAGAGTGAAGAGGAGCCTATGAAGCCATATTCTACACAGTCAGCCATGGACAACTAAATTCGCCTGCACCCCAGAGACACAAGTCCACCAGCAGAGGAACCTGGTGCCCAGGGCAGGTCAGGCAGGGGAGACTCTCCCAGCAGTCATGGAAAGGAAGGAAGCTGAGGGCCCTCATGACCCCATAAGGTAGGATCTGGTTGTGGCTTTACAGTCTCTGGCAACACCCACAGCCTTTGGGAACCCTCCAGGGGAGAATTAGTTTTTTACATGGATAATAAGAGCAAGGCTCAAACCCACTTGCAGGTATTTAAGAAAATTGAAAATTAAGCAAAATCTAAGAAGTAGAAATGAGAAATAGGAAAGAAAAGAATGAGAATAAAAAAAAAGGAATAATAAGAAGAATTGCTTTGGTGCTAATAGCATGCTGTTTTTGTTACTGTTGCTCTGTAGTATAGTTTAAGATCTGGTATAGCGAGCGATACCACCTGTTTCACTCTCCCTGCTAAGGATTGCTTTAGCTATTCTGGGTCTCTTATTTTTCAAGATGAATTTCATATTGCTTTTTCTATTTCTATGAGGAATGACATTGGGATTTTGATTGGAATTGCATTAAATCTGTATAGTGCTTTTGGTAGTATGGT